TTCTTACCTCATTCCAGCACTATCCAGGAAGGCTAAAGTCATTCGATCTCTTTCATCATGTTCAGAATATAAAAGGACCCCTGATACCTCCTTTCGATGTCAGAAAGCTTCGTTCTGACAGAGAAACCTCCTCCTCCCCCGGATTTCGTATTCTCACCATGAGAGCATTGGAGGGCTTCGATTATGTCATGTAAATTCATCATTTAATACATATATACCATATTTGCTTACTCTATGTCAAGTGGATCCTCAAAAGGCATAGAATCGAAAGCCCCCTCAAAGTCATAGGGATTTCCTCAAGCCACCTCATTATCTGGCTAACCGATAGAGCTGTAGTCTTCTCTCTCTCGTGTATTGTATATATAGTATATTAGACCAATTACCGATGATAAGAGAGACTACAAAAGACATATATCTCGAGGAAATGGCCCTAACCTCCCAAACTTGCTACCCCTGTATCTCGCTCAAAACGAAGCATTCCAATAAATGATTTATGATGACCATGAAGCTCTATATTGAATCTAACTACTGTCTCCTTTATCAAACTACAGCTGACTTGGGCGATAACTCTGGGTGCTTATAACACCAATGGAGTGACTACAAGTTTAATGGGACGGTGGCTAGTCATCAAAGTGATATATACCTGTTTTATTCCCAATTTAGAGCATCCTTGCACTTGCAGAACTATCTGTATCTCAGGTATAATAGCACAATAGCCCAAGGTGGCATTTCTCATGGAGTATCTACAGATTATCTATGGAACTCTCCCTTGCTGACAAGCTGTCCAGAAAATGTTTCCACAATGACACCTGTTACATCATTCCTCATAGGTAGGATCTTCTTCACTTTCCTCAGGGGATCTCTTCCTCTTCCTCTCAATCCTAGATAAATTGGAACTAGAGAAAGGTGAAAGGAGCTCATGATTAGAATCAAACATTAACAAGGATATAATGATGAGATATTTGCTCCTTACTCAATAGGTGGGTGTTCACCCCTGTTAGACCCAAGGATGTCTACTTCACTCAGGTGCTGTTGCAAATATGAACAATATGAGTCAAATTGCTGCAACTACTTACCAATATCTTCTGATGAGTCTCTTGGACTACCTTCCTTAGGTTTGTAGGGCTAAGTTGTATCATCTGATGAACAAGATTGAACATCATAAATTGTATCTGTGGATCACAATCTTCCAGGGTGTTCTCCAATTCTGTGAGAGATACTCTTGATTGTGAATCAGAATGGAGAGAGAAGTCTGACTGAGAGCCCCGGTGGTGCCTTCTACTTTGTATCGACTTCAAGGCAGCCTTATGGGTAGACTTTGTTATATAAGTCTCAAGGGCCCCCCTCTCCTTTATCCCACCAGATCTCTCTTTTGAGAAAGAGGCCACTGGATCTGTGGAATTTGTCTTCAGAGGATTGACAATGATAGGAGTAATGTCAAAACCTTCTGGAAGACCAAGAGCACCTTTGGTACTTGTGGTGGGCTGATCTGTGGGGTTGGCACCATATGGACTTGAGTTGTCATCTTTCTTAGCACGTGTATCTTGAGCAAGGATATGTGGGATGTCCTGTCTCTCAAAGGAATTCACCACCAAGCTTTGATTTATCTGTAGCCACTTTTTTGCCCTTGGCAGAGGACAGCATTCCATGAATTGGTGAAAATGAGGATCCCTTTCAACCTTTGTCAAAGCTGACTTGAGGTCAGTGTTTGGCTTGATGAGGTCTGAATATCGATAGCAGTCAAGTTCAAACTACATCCTCTTGTAAGCATGCATTTGGTCTTGATCTTGTCAAAGCCCACCTTCTCTCTATTGTCTCCCATGGACCGTAAAAAATCCTCACGTTGTTTGAGGTCAGTGTCAACATTGTAGACATCCCATCCAATGACACATTTTGCCTGGTGTATAGTGAATGCCTATCATATTTACCATGCCAAGTTTTCATACCGCATCTGCCATCCTACTGGCACGTCTTATTATCTCTTCAAGGCCACTTCCACTGACCCAAGATGGGAATGGTATCTGCAAAGGAAATTTAGCTTGGAAGATGGTTATCATAGGCAATGAAAGATACATTATCTCCAAACACCCATTCTGGTTGGCCTGATGGGCCTTGGCTGAGATATGGTAGCCCTTTGGGACCTTGCTCAATCTCCAATGTATTGAGATTCCACTGCTTATTCAAGGTTTTGAAAGGTTTCTTTGATGGGAGTTTTCTTCCGGTTGGGGAACCCTCCAATTTCAAGGCCATTATATGATGATTGCCTTCATCTGCCAGCAACCGGATCCAAATTTGATGGACTTCATTCAGTACAGCACGACATAGCTGAGGGGAGAAAGTTAGAGTGAGGAAACAATCAAAAGAGAACTTGCACTCACATAGGACATTCGAAGGAAGAGTGTGGTGCGAAACCCATAAAGATTAAAGAAAGGATGAAAGACAGGTATCTCCATAACTTTCTCCAGTCCTTCTAAAACAATTGGATAATCTATACAAGTTAAGAATCCAAGGACAAATGAAGGGACAATATCCACAGGTTTGACAGTGTCTACTTTTGCACTGTCTCCTGTTGAAGGATTCACACCATCCATTGTGGATGAGGGCTTCCCTTTCTTTTGATTGTAATTAGCCCCCTTGAGTGCCCGGAGAGTCACCTGTCCTTGTTCCTTGGCAAGCCTCTGGCAAATATGGAAAAGATCAATGGAATGTACCCCCCGAGTGATGTCTGGGGCTTGTTCATTCTCTTTGATGACCAACACCTCAAAAAGGAAAGGGAGGTTCCTCTCGAGTTCTAGAAATCCAATCAGTCAAGGATCCAGGGGAAGCAAGCAAAAAATCAAGTGCAATTAGAGTTGTGGTCAACAAAGAATAGTAACAGATATTACCTGAATTGTAGACTTTGACAAGCCACCAAGCATTGTCCTGCTGATCAGCATCTTGAGCCAATTTTTCAAGTGCCTTGACACGGTGTTGACCAGAGAAGATGAAGAGATTGATCTCCTTGGGGAAATCATCTGGGGAGCTAGGATTGGTGATTAATGAGGGTTGGATAGAATCACCAAGGATTGCCAAGATTGGTGGGGCAGACATTCTATTGATGCCTGCCTTGAAGCTCTTGTAGAGCCTGTCAATGTGTGTTGGCTCTAATTGCCTCTGGCTGGCATGGGGCTTGATGTGTGAGTTTGGTGATGACAAGTCAAGCTTGAAGAGCCCAACAAAGTGTTGATGAAGAGCATTCTCAATAAAGGCTGGTGGGTTTTCCATATTGCACACTATTGCAGCAGATGGTAGAGTTTGGTGTCAAAACACCACCTGCACCTAACTCAGTGAAGTGATATATATATAGTGATGCAGATGAAAACTTGTTAAAGCTCCTTCTCTGTAGTTATGGTTTTAATCAATATTGGTAAAGATGTTCTTGTCTAACCTTAATATGTGTGGCCACTTGTCATGGTGAGGTGGTGGCTATGCCAAAGTCCATGGAGCATGATGACATGACAGGAATGAGTTTAGGGTGAACAATCAGATCCTTTTGTGTTCTTTTTCGTGAGAAATTGACTATAAATGCCCCTACACTTCTAAACTTGTGTCATGCACACATTATGACTCAATTCCGTTGCAGCAAGTGGCATTCATTATCGTATGAACAGAGTCATTTTGGTGCTATATTGATGAATCTATCTACATGGGTAT